GAATCTGATTAGTGTCGTTAGTTATACATCATCAATAAATCTGATTAACATCTACAAAAGATCACTTCTGTGTTGGAATAATAAGAATTCTTATTCCTGCTGATTAGATTTTTATCATCAACAGATTTTGTGAAAGTGAATCAATTCTAAGAACTGTTTTTAAACATGTGGGTTGGCATGTATTGATTTTCCTTCTCTGACTGGACGTGATCAATCACATGATCACTTCTCACTCACATTACTTGTCTTTCAAACGTGAACGTAAATGAAGATGATGACACGTCTCCACTTCCTCCCACTTTACTAAGATGTAACTAAAATATCTCACTGCTCGACCAATCACGACTCAGTCTCAGCTGTCAATCATGACGTCTCTGTTTTCATTTCATCAATAACTAATAAAACCAAACTGATCGGAAACTTGAACAAACATCAGTGAGATAACCCTAACCCATCTGCTAACATGGAGGAGGAGGATCATGACCTATACTGCAGACAGCCACCAGGGGGCAATAGAGATGATTTGGCTGCACTTTTGAGAGCCATTGTGTCGGCCATCTTTATTTACAGTTCATGTTCTGACCACCAGGGGTTCAGTTCATTTACCTCTGATTCTCCTGTCGTAGTCATTTGTCAGTTCCAACAGCGCCACCTGGTGTTTCTGTTGAGAATCAAACGACGCTCACTCACATGAAGAAAACAGGGAGAAGACACAGAGTGATTGTCTGCAGAGACTCAGTCTGTCTCACCAGTTTGAGTTCCTCGATGCTCTGCTTGTTGCAGAGCGTCTTCTCTCTGGCGTCCGCCTGCAGCCCGTGCGTGTCGCCGCGCAGCTCCAGTTCTGACTCGACCTGCTGGTTCTGGATCAGTGAAGCGGAGGCGGCTGCGTCCATCTTCAGCTCGGAGACGGTGTTGTGCTGCTCGGACAGGACGTGCTTCAGCTTCTGCTTGTAAACCTGGACATCAACCATCACACTGAGCGTCAGAGACAAAGCTCCTGATCATCGTCTAACTTTCATCAATCAAATCAATCAAACCAATGAAACCACGTGAACAAAATAACAATGTCTGGAAATACTGTGGCACCAGAGGACAAACGTGCAGCTCACACTGATCTCCACTCGGTGGCGCTGCTCAGCCTCCTCTCTCTCCCGTTGTCTGTGCCTCAGCTCGTCCTTCACCTGCTCCACGTCTCTCCTGCACGTTTCCCAGAATGCCTGGATCTTGTCTCTCTCCAGCTGGAAGTAGCTCCTCTCCTCCCGCTCCCGCTCCAACTCCTCCCGGAGACGAACTATGTGCTCCTCCAGCTGTGTGTGTGTGGGGGGGGGGGTATAGTTTTTATATCTGAAGTATGGCTGTTAAAGGTACAGTGTGTACAACCTGCCTCAACCAGCCTTCAATAATTATAGAAACTCAAAAGGTTTTAGTTTGTCCAGTCTGGACTAATGTAAAAAACATGGCGGCCTCCGTAGAGAGGGTCCCCTCCATGTAAATATGAAGTATTTCAATATGAAGTATTTCAATATGAAGGATCTTTTCTGGGGTAAAGAAAACTACAATTCATATAATTTGGATGAAACGAACTAGTGAAAAAATCACGAGGATTATTCATCATTAGATTTCTGCTGAACGATCCTTTCACCTGAATCTGACACTGGAGCTTTAAACTGAGACACGTCCTCTGGGAACATCAGCAC